ATATATATATATATATATATATATATATATATTTCACATATTTATAGTTTTCTTCAATTTTTATGCAATTTTATCTGTTTATAAATATTTACTGTCATTATATTATTTTATAAAATATTAAAAATTAAATACCTATGGGACTTACGCTCCGTGCCTCGGGGCTTACGCCTCACTAAGGCATACGTAAAACGCCTCGCCTTACGTCCACGCCTTTTAAAATATTGATTTAAACTTAATAATAGTAAATTAATATGGTTGGATATTAATACTAGGTGCGGTAAGTTTTTACCTCACGTCCATCGTCTAATACAACTCTAGCCAATTTGAGCTAATTTATCCCCTTGCAATGCTTGTTATTTTGTAATACTACGTTTAGTGTACGTATTGTGCACGTATTTTTTGCGTGTATTAAAAAATGTATGAAATGTAGAATAAAAATAAATTATATGTAATAGCAATTGACATCGAGATAAATACGACATTTCTTTAAATTCAATATAAATATTTTAGTGTATCAATATTTTTACTTAAGCAGTCATATTTATCTAATAATATAGATAGATATTGTAGCAACCCCTTTGGGAGGGTGTTACTTACGAAACAAATCTAATTTATTACTTACAACATTACGAAACAAATCTAATTTAGTAGCGGAAATAGGCTCATGCGATGAGGTCCAAAGTGCAATATTTTTTTATTTATTTTTTGAAAATACTCTTCATAATTTTATTTTATTTTTTAAAAATAAAATACAATGTCAAAATTTTAATATAAGGTGATATAATCCTTCTTGAATAATCAACATCACTGCAAGTTTGTATTGTACATAAATTTTATACTATCGGGTATAAAAAAAAAAAACTAATTTTCTCTTTTGTACATATATATAAGACAAAGTGTAAATTCAACATATTACAAGACTTGAGTTATTAACATACCTTTAAACAGCAAAATAAGTTACCAAATTCAAGTTACAAGATTCTGGTCTTAATATCCAAGCCTCCAAATAATATACATAAGTGTGATATATATATCATGTACAAGTCCCGAAATTATACAAAATCATGGTGCATATGCAAATGTGATCTCCATAATGTCACACCTCCTTTTTTTCGCGGGGGATAGGGGATAAGGGATTTTTCCAATTAAAGTGACATAATTCAAAATGGAATTATTTAATTAATCAGAGTCGCCACTTGGAATAATTTATGGTGTCTCAAGTCACCAGTTTATTTAAAATCCCAAATCGAGAAAACTTGGCTCTGTTTTAAATTTCGCAAAATCAGAAGACCGGGTAAGAAATTCTATTAATCCGGGAGAAGGTGTGAGGCACTTCCGAGTTCCGTAGTTTTAACACGGTCGCTTAACAATTAATAATTGGCCTAATTATCTGATTAATTACATATTTAGAACCTATTGTGCATCTTAACCTTTTAAACTGCTTTTAATATTGTGGAATTTGTTTGAACAAGTCGCGATGTCGCGCACTCGTTTATTTTTGTACACATTGCAAATCGCGCTACGTGAAACGCACCCGCGATTTACAACATGTTAATTTTATTATTATTCGAAGTTACGGTCGAGTCACGTGAAACGAACACTCGAATTGGGGATTATGTATCATGACTATGCCACGGGAATCGTACCCATAGTCACGATGATTTATTTATTAATCGCACCTAAAGCAAGCTATGATATTCATTATTCTTCCAAAACCTTGAGATTATTGTGAGGCCATGAGTTATGGAAGTCAATTGTGGATGAAGTGTAAAATTTAATTAAAAAGAGAGTTAACATGATCACTGATATATCTAAGAAAATAATACAAACGCGAACAGAACACTTTCTTGCTCAATTTTCGACCAAAGAGACAATTCAAATTTCCCAATAGATAGATTCCCTCAGGATTATCTCTAATTAATCTAAGCTGTGGATTCCCATCAACAACAACATACTTTAGTTTCACAATCAGAACCACAATGTAACATTCATAGTGCGATAATCATCCAGGAACTATGTAGTGAATTTTAAAGGCTCATGACCGACCCAAGCATAGAAAGTCAAAAACAATGAGGATTGAGTTCACTAGAAATATATATACATGGAATTATTTGAAACCACAAAAAAAGTCTCATAAAGTACCGATCAACAATTCAAACAAGCAATCAAGATTTTTAACTAAAATAAAGCAATTAAATGATTTAGCAAAAGCAAACAAATATAATACTCAACTAATCCATAGTAAAGACAAATTGAGAATGGACCTTAACTGAAGCAATGATTTTCTATTGAACAAAGCTTCCAACAAAATTCATATAACGACCATTCATGACATATCCTAGACCCAAAATCGACTTTAGACCGGAACCTCGAACTCGAACCGAAACTTGTTTGGTGCAGTAAACCAAAACAAAAATTTAGGAGAAGGAACAATGAAATCCCAGAACCAAAACTTTAGTTCTTATTCAAAGATTCTGTCCAATTTCGTCCGTTTTCTCACTGTATCGTTCTTGTTCTTTCTTTCTTTTTGAGTGTATGTGTCTTTTTCCTTTAGCTTAGGAGATTCAGTCTGCAGCTGACTCTCTCGAATGTGTGCATGAGAGCTGATGATAAGGAAATGGGGTCATTTTTCTTTTGAAGGAAGCAGCGCCGTTCCTTTTTTGGTGGGGGTAGGAAATTAGGTTCTTCTTTTAGATTAGGGTTCTATTAGGATTTTATATGGTGTAGGGGAATTAATCCTAACCCTTGGATGAAAGTAGATCAATGGCTATGATTAAGGGGGGTTTTAAAGTGTGAGAAAAGGGTTTGGGATAAAAAAAATTGGGAATAATGGGCATTTGTCTTGCTGGACCACCAAAATCCGAAAATGAGCTCCCAATTGGCCCAAATTTAATTCTTTCGCATTGAACAAAAATAAAAATACTAATACTACCAAAATATACTAATTAATCTTAGTTAATAAGAATAAACTATTAAAGTGAACTATAGATTAAAAATAAAAATATTTATGGTATTTTTTAAATATTATAAATATCATAAAATACTAATAAGCTAACAAAAATATATAATAAGAAATGAAATATTATAAAACTATTTTTGTGTTTTTAAACTTATGTTTTAAAATTAAAACTAAAAGTTGACTGAAATCCTATTAAATGAAAAATAAATAACTATTTTTTTTAAAATACTACTTTTAAAAGTTGTGCGGGTCAAAAATTACGTGCTTACACATAAGTGCTCCCAAAAAGACCACTTCATAAGGTCGTCTTCAAATTTTATCACATACATTACCTACGATAGAAAATAACTATCACTAAGCATAAAGTTTAGCGGCGTATAATTTTTGGGCTTGGAGCCATTAACTTCTTCAATTTTCATTTTCAGTCATAGGTAGCTCAAATGAAACATATTTTGAAACAAGTGAACAAATATATCAAAAGTATCAAATATCAACCCTTGAAGTGTTTTCAAATATCAATAACAATGTTCAAGATTCAAGAGTTGAGAAATCGTATACTAGCAATCCAAGAAAGCTTGTCAAATATCCATTTTTCGCCCAATATATACGTCATGCTATCACACTAAGCAAAATCAGATATCAATATGGACCGAAGCCCCCAAATCAAGTAGGGTCAAAACCCAATAGTCAAGAGAATCAAGAATCATATTAAAAATGGCTTCCTAGTTCATACTTAACACGGACAAGTTCCATAATTTAAGACGAACTACAAATCCAAAGTCAAGATGGCAAAAGATCCAAATCAAGAGGCATGCCAAGATCAGTGACAAAGTCACTACCACAAGAAGGACAAAGTCCCAACAAGAATACAAAATGATCAAACAATCCGTATGAGTGGGCGATTTAGCAAATATCTTACAATACTTGATATAACACGAATACAATGCTATTAATTGAATACAAGAAAAATAAAATATCAGGTTAATTTAAAATATTCCAGCAAGTAAAAAGAGTACAAAGTTTATACACAAACCTTGGTGTTTTACCACAAAATAGTTCAACCACAACTTGAGGACGTTCGAATCGTCTACGCCCTAGACAAACCAAATCCGTCCACTTCCTTAAATACTTCCCCGTAGATTTTACAAGGATATATATATACCTTAAATATATAATAAAATATCTATATAAGTTCAGTGATTTAACATGTCAAACTAAACATGATATTGGTGAAAATTACCCAAAATATTTGAAACAGAAATTCTGGACAGTATCACTATCTCGTGTTGTGACTCAGATTTGAAGATGAAAAAGGACAACCTAGACTGTGTGGTCTTCTTTACAGTTATAGATATGTGTCTTAGTGTTTCAAACATCTTGAATAACCCCCATATCAGTTTTGTACAAAAGGTTATGCTAAACTTACTAACAGTAGTACATGGAGGGGTTGTAAAATAGAAAATCCGGGCAGCACCTGCCATGTACTTCATCACCTATTTTCGGGTAAATAAAAGACAAACTATATTTTAGTTCCTTCATAAGAGTTATAGATCTATAAAATAGCTTTTCAGAAAGTCTTAGATTACTTAAAATGGAGCTCTATACAAAAAGATATGAAGAAAACACTAATAGTTATCTAGTGTAAAAACGGGTTTAGTAACTTACCACAAAAGAGAGGAGCAACTTGAGTTTTACCAAAAATAATTTTTGCTGGTTGGTTTAGTAAAAATTTATGGTGGTTTTCATGAAATTTTCAGGTGATAAGAAGGAGAGAGGGTAGAGATTTTCTTTTTTTTCTTGAAAGAATGAAAATGGGGAGTTTATGGAAGACTAAGTCAATCAAAGTTATCTTTAAATTTTTTGGATAAATATGAAATAAAAATGGCTGCCCAAATACTAAATATCCTTAGATAAATACAAAAGGGTGGCAGCCCAAAAACTCAATTATAATGTATTTAACAATAATTTATCAAAATAATATTAAGTGTTACACATAGCAACACCATGGAATTTCTTTGTCAATATTAACACAACCTGGAGTAAGAAATTTTTATGTATTGGCAATTTCACATTTAGGAAGTGTGAAGTAATTATATCTCCTCATTATAAAGATGCTCATTCGAAAATACAAATATTTATAATCTTTATGCACGTACATTGAATCGTATTTTGTGCTATTACAAGATTCAAAAGTAAAATATTGAAAGATATACATACCACATTTTAAAAGAGAAATTTTCTTATACTTTCTAATAAATGAAATCATCCTGTAATCTAAAGTTTAAGTAAGATAGAAGCATATAAAAGACAATAAATTATATTTGAAAATTTTTTAGGAGCGAACTCACGACAACTTTTACGAAGGAGCAATGCCGGTTCGTTTCTTTGATATACTTGGAAGTCTTATACAATATTTTCTTAAAAACAATTTTTAATATGTGTTTTTGAAAATATGCAATTATGTTGTACATAGAAGATAAGTAAGACTCAATTATGTAAAGAAAGAATTAATTAATTTTGATATTTAGAGGCAAATTCACGGCATAAAAATCTATAAGGAAATAAAGAAGATATGTTTTGGAGGCTAGCACCCTTGTGTTTATTTTGGATAATTTTGAGAGAGGTGAAAAATGTTCAACAACTTTATTTTTAGTTTTATCTAGAATTAGACTCTGATTTAAACTATATTTATATTTTGTACACAGTTAATCGCTTGAAATACCATATAAGCCCAAAAACTCAAGATTAAGAAATTTAGATTGACTTACAAATTTAATAAGTTCTGTTATTAGTTGACTTCAAATTTTTAAGTATTAGGTAAGGTTCTACAAACTACTACCACTTTATTCAACTTGAACTTTTTTTTTAGAAAATTAATTTACTATTTTAATGTAAAGTATAAACACATTCCCACAAGATATTGTGAAATGAGGTACTTCCCACAAAATTTTGGCTTTTGTTCTTTCTATCTTGAAGCATTTACAATATTGATGAAGGACCCTTAGTTTTATCTTTTTAAATCTTTTTTGTTTTCAAATTGAGAAGTAAAAGTAGCACGGCTTTGCCCGTTGGAATAAACTTAAGAAATTCAAAATAAGAAAAGTCATTATGTTAAATACGAAAATAATTTTTATAGTTTCTTACATAATTCAAATAATAAAATAATTTGTATAAGTAAAATTTTATTTAATTTTAAATTCTTAAATATTAGAAGTTTTTATGTAGTTCAAATAAGAGAATATTTAATAATTAAAAGTTTTAGTTGATTTCTAAGTTTTTAATATTAGAAAAATAAAAATAATATTATGATTTTTTTCCAATGAAAATCTGTTTTTAAAGGATAATGTGTATTATGACAGCATTCATTTACAAGGAAAAATACTCTTTTTATTATTTAAAAAATTCAAATAGCTATGAAAAACTTGAAAGAAGCAATTTCTCATAAGCAATGTCATGCACGCATCGTACAATAAAATAAGAATTTTATTTATTAATTGAAAAAGGTCGTAGAATTTAAGAAACCTCATAAAATTTAGGAGAGTAAAAGTGAAACATTCATAGTTGAATTCAAAAATCAACATATTAGCTCATTCTGAACTGAAAAAATTAATTGTAAAAGATTGATGGCAATTATCATTATATCCAACATGGAATGTAACTTTATGCTAATATATTTATTGTTTAAAATCTAATTTAGTCTAAAAATGATTAATTAACTCTAGTGGCGAAAAACAAATACTAAAAGTTTGAAGAACCAAATTCTCTCACTGCATATTCCTATCGTATTTAGTAAAGTAGAGCTCTCTTTTAATTAATTTCAAGGTTAAATATCTATAGAAAACTTTAAAAGAAGCAATATTATCACTACATTCCTAGCGCATGCCATAAAGTTTCCATAAATTGATATAATAATGGGATTTTCCTTTGTCACAAATTAATGTGATTTTCTTTGTTATTTTTGTTACAAATTTATTATATTACATAGCTCAAATAAGGAAGATTTAATATAAAAAATTTAGTTGATTTTGAAATCCTAAGTATTAGGGAAATAATAAATATCTATATTCCTAAATATTAGGAAAATAATTAAAAGACTATTTTGTCTAGTATGAAATCAATTTATCAAGGGTAAAAAAAGCGAACGACATTTCGCTAAAGGTCTTCGTGCTTTTAATATACAGATAGATGAACGTTTAGATGAACTACACCTCTTGAATTACATCCCTCCTTGCATGCATTTGTTGATTCACTTCCCTCGACAATGAGAATTTAGAGTATATTGTATGGCATATATAGTGATAGAGGAATAGACGAGTATAAAGAAGGGATGGAAAATCATTTATTTGATCTTGATTTGATGTATATGTTATGATGCCTTCGTATAAAGGAGGATTGGGGGTACGACAGATAAGAAGAGCAGTAGTGGAAATTCTCTCGTTCCCTGGTCAAAGACTTGGTTGGATGCGGTATCTACTTCACGAGGAGCGATACGTTCCCTGGTCTACCCCTCTTTTTGTACCGCCTTTCAAAGATTTTCCAACCACCAATTGAAAATTCAATCTGACTTCTAAAACGGTTTCAGGATCAGTCGTGTGATTTTCCCAGAGATCGCCGTAAGTTCTTTGCCAAATTATATACAGACAATGCTCTTAAACACAAGTGATAGTAGGAGTAAACATGTTCCGCAGAGTGGTAAAGACTTCTGTACTACAAGATCTTAGCAGCAATTCATTCTTTTGCCTTCCAAGATTTTTAACTCACACCAGAATGGAAAGAACTCTTGTTACAATACATAAAACTTTATTCTGGTGAACCAGTTAACATGATATCAGTCCCGTCAATAAAGTTTGTAATGTTTCTAACAAATAAGAACCAAATCCATTGGACAAAAAAGTTAAAATTGCATCTTATCTCAAACAGTTGCAAACAAACTCACAAGCTCATACATGATCCATTCATACAGTGGATGGTTCTGCTCTGCGACGTTTTGTCCAACTATCTCAATAGCCTAACTGACAAGCTGAGTGTACACATATAGCATACATAAAAATTGAACTGCTATACCTCCTAGCAGCAACTTGGCCAATGTCCATTATGCAAGTAGACCAAAGTTCCATAATAGGTGCAGAATTACTCGGTATAACACCAAATCGTTGAACTAATGTTGCTGTCTAAATATATGCAGTTACTATCCGGTTAACATTTGCATCATTTCCTGTGGCAAAAATGTTTTCAGATAATCAGATCACTGTTCAACCATAATGCAAGCACATGAGCTTGAAGAACTGCAAATACTTGCAATTATACCCAAGCCGGGAGCAAAGAGAACCTCAAGGAAATGCTACGTTGCGTTAGGTGAAGAACACAAGAGGAAAAGCTCTCGTGTTGCATCTTTCTTCAATATCCTATTGATTTGGATCATATTCTTGAAATCCACTCTTGAATCTCTCGACCATTTTAATTTCTTCTTCTTTGCTATCCTTACAATTTCTCCAATCAGCTCTATCTGCCACATTTAGCAAGCCTGCCAAAACCTGTGACACATTCATGCAAAACACAGCAAATTACAGTTGTTAAAACATATTTTGCATAAAGTGGAAGCAAACTAAGCGTCAACTGTCAAAAAATTTAACTACATGATACATTATTAGATAAGGGGATGATTGCACGATCAACCTAGGTAAAATTTATATGGAAGTGCATTCTGCCAGATATATATATATATATAAACATTTNGGCTATCCTCCCTTGTCAGGTATATACAAACATCTTACCTCACGACCAAATTGAACTGGGAATTTCTCATTCTCCTCCACAACATGTGACAAAATACCACCTCCAGGAACTTCAACATAAAATAAGCTGCAACTTCTGTCAAACTGGGTCCGCAACGCTTGTCTTCCTTCTGCAGTAAAAAGAAAACACCACATGAATGTCATCTCTAAACTGAACTGTTCTCACCCTCCCACACGAGACAAACTATGACTTTGTAAATCCATGAGAGTTTCGTCCATAACCATGCTAACCCACATTTCCAATTAACAGAGAACAGAGGAGAAAAGGATACAATGGGAAAAACAGAAGTTTAGAATTTTGAGCATCTGCAGTGATGATGCATTAAAGGACAACGAAGAATAGCCAAGGCTGAGGCATGAATGCAGAGTTGAGCTGCTGTTTTCCACTGTTCTAATGTCTCTACCTTTACCAGTTTTCTTTTTTTGATCAAGTCCTTTACCAGTTTTCTTCTATTATCTGGTTGGGGAATGGGGCAGGGATTCTGACTCCATGGCCTTGTGCAATACAGAAGTCATTAACCATACCCTTAATTATGGTAAATTTGAATCCCAATTTTTCAGCAGCCAAGTTAAAAATATCTTGAACCAAAGATGCCCTGGACGAGGGAATAGGAACAACCTACAAGATACACAAAGAGTGGAGATTAAGATAAATGGAAAATAAGTGGTAATAAAGATGAAGGAATAATGGACAAACGAACTGTGAAATGAGAATAACAATTACATAATTGTGCATCATTCATCAATGTTAAAAAAGGAGATTGAGCCATTAAGGCAAGGCAGCTGCAATTTGCCCCAATGTGTAAAATTAAACACATACTTCTAAAAGGTGTAAGTTAAGGCATGTCTATGTTTTTTAAGGCTCTGCCTCTTTGGGTGTCTTTGATGTAAGCCTCACATGACGAGTGTCAGCCACATGATCCTTGACTGAGTCTTTCTTCTTAACCACCAGTTGGGTAAATCGTACTCAAGCTTTAATCAGTTTCCACAAACAGAGCATTTTCTCTCTTTTTTTCCTTTTCAAACCAATAAGTATTTAATTCAAACAAAAGAGCACAAAGAAAGTGCATGAATATGTACAATCTTTTGCAAAATGTGAAAAGCAAGGGCCTGTTCCATTGTCATGTAGCCTTTAAGGTTTGAATGGGGTTTAATTTCCCGTGCAGATTTTAAGCTTTCTGGTAATTTGCTTACATTTTTCATTCAATTTGATCTCTCACTCGTACTTCAAAATATAAATACTAATTCCAGTTAGGTAATGTTTGTGCCTCATGGTGTATGCCTCTCTGCGAGTGATGAACACCGACAGCTCTTTCACAAAGAACTGAATATTGAGAGAAAACGATCAAGCAATGGCACTCTATGGATGGTTTTCTAATCAAACCCAGTACTCAGGAAAGGTTTTGTGTTTACTCAGAGTTCCTAAAGCCGTAGATCTCAAATAGAACAATACATGTACGAGCTGCAACGCAACACCTTTTTCTGTCAGTACAAGCTACTGCAACACCTTATGCCCACTGAAATATGCTTGGAAAACTGCGGTACTTGATACATAAAGAAAACAAGAATTCAAGTTTGTCTGAAATATTGGTTAAACTGCTACCATATCCTATGAAAGTAGACAACAAAAAGCAAATAAATTAAAATTAAGTTATGCTAATAAACAAACTTTTAGCGACAGTTTCAAAGATGGTAATACAGACATATCTTATTTTTTAAATAATCAGTAACACAGGGATACATCATCACAATACATTATTTGCAAATTTTTCCACACCTGAAGATTGGCATGAATTCCTCGTTTAAATGCCCACTCGAAAAAAATTGCTTCCTTCCCTTGCCTTTTGAAGTAAGCTCTGAAGCTGTTTTGAAGATGTTCCAATTCCTTTTCACATTCTTGTGAAAGAGATAACGTATTGGGCATATGTTCAATGGGCATAATCAGCGCATGATCTGGTAATAAAGGTCCTTTAGCAAGTGCACAGTAGTAATATTCTCCAACACTAGTGATGAGATGTGACTCAACATTCGGACTTGACAAACAAAACCAACATTCTCTTGACCTGAAAAACAGCGAAAGAAATAGGAAGTATTTATGAAGGCACAGAAACTGACAACAGCAAAGTCATCACGAAAAAACAAGTAGTAGTTCGATAAATATCCACCTGTGAGAGCTTGCTGCACCAGTAGCTGATCTGCCACCTTCTTCCTGCAAACTATGCTTGAAGTTGCAATTGGGACCTCTTTCACATTTTCCCTTGTTGAGAAAGTCAAAACACACACCTCTTGAGTACTGCTGCATAGCTTCTTCATCATGCCTAAAGTGGCACTTCTCTCTTGGACAAGAGCCAGAAGAGACGAATTTAAAGCAGAGTCTGTCACCATTACCATCTCCATGTTTCTGCCTTTTCTGAGATACATCATATCTCCAATACTGTGACTCAGACGTACTATCACCGGGCCTCTTCGTTGCTCCATCGGGTGGGACTGCTTTGTCAACATTGGTATATGGAGATAAAGTAGTGTTTGGTGGCTTTGCCCTAAGCTCAGGTTTCGACATTGTTGATGCCGGAGTGGGGGATATTGCATGAATAAATTTCTGCAAAGTATTCATGCATAAAATGAGGATTCAAAATGATACAAAAGGGATGAGGTAGACCTAAAATCATATGGAGAGAAGTTTTCTTTAAAGACCCATAATCTCTTGGAATGAATGCAGACTTAGCTATAAGCTAAGAACACAACACAATAGAAGCAGAGGAACCATTTGCACAATATCAACTAGTTGAGATTAAGGTTTTAGTTGTCATTGTTACAGTGATATCAAGTCCAGCATTTGACAGCAGAAGCCTCTCAGTTTGTCAAAGACTTGTCTGCCCATTGAAGGATAAGTGTAAAATTCTAGGAAACTTCTAGTTTTTGAGATCTATTACTTACCTCAATTAATTTCTGATAATGACATTTGAAAAATTGCAAACTACATAAGAATTTTAAATCTTAAGAGTTTTACTATAGCATTTTGAGAATATGCACATAATCAACATGTTTGACCCTAAACGTTAAACTGTGTTGCAAAGGAATGAGAGAGAGAGAGAGAGAGAGAGAGNTACACCCATAGTTCCTGCAACATGATACCTACCAGCGGTACAATTTATAGATTTATAGGGCAACAAAGTATAGATCTAAATGAAAAGTACTGGTTCATTCAAACGAAGAAAGAACTAGAAAGCAACAGAAAAAATATTGTTTACCACCACTCAAGACATGCACACAGGATAGTGGCTGTTATAGCATTCACATTAACAGAACATTGTGAATTCTCCAACAACGAGGAAATAAATCTTAAGAAATTTTACTTATTTTTTTCAAATTGACATTCAGTAAGCTGACTGCCAAATGCTAATCCCAACAGCTTAATTTTACTTTAGGTGAAGCCTAAGTAAATCAACGATAAACACATCCACTGTGAAAAAAACTCTTGGAAAAGATTTGCTAGTTCAAGCCAAAAATTACGAAGGTCATGACACATATCACCTCAAATTAACTATGTACTGCCATCCCAGCCTAGGTCTGGATGAAGCTTGCACTATTAATGGATAAGGAAAATAAGCAGAATCTCATAAAAGAGGAAGTGGCAGCCTATAGTACATACATACAATTGATTTTGTAGCACACAATACTTTTTAATGAGAAATGCCACATAGCTATTGGATCCAGATTTTAAAGATTCAAATTTTCTTCTCTAGAGGTAGTGAAGAAAAGTTGAAACGAAACTCATGAACGAAGAACTTGATTGCCCACGAACAATATATTCAATAAGCGAACTGCACTTTGTAAAAATATGATCACTTACCGAGGCTTAATCTCAGCTACTAATTCTGACACTGTGGGATCACTATCAGATGAATCAGAAATTTCTGAAGGAATATTTGATGTCACTCCATTCGTGACTCCACTGGGCCATTCATTAGTGTTGTTGATTAAGGAAATCAAAGACATTGTATGGAGTGGTCAGATGCAGAAAAAGAGGGTGATCAATATAAAAACAAAGGATATGTAAGAAATATGTCAACTGTTCCCGGATCCTCCGCTAAAGCCCTCAAAGCATCAACATCGTCTTGACTGTATGTTCCAAACTGAGCTCCAGTTGGAGATCGCCTACCAGATAAGTATGCCACAGATAACCCTAATCATGAGTACAGTATAAATCAGATATCACATCAAACACAAAGTCCAAAAGCATTTTTCAGTCATACACCAGGGACCAAGAAAACAGTAATTCGATAAGAGACATGATATGAAATCCTAACTTCTTTAGTCTCTCTAATTCACGATAGAGACATCAGATATAAGCATAGACACTTGCTCTTTGGTGAGATTCTAATCTCACAATTGGAGGAATATTCCAAATTAACAGAAAAACAGGTAGTTATCATGGACTGGATGCAGTTTTCAAAAAAAAAAAAGGAAAAAAGAAATAGTAACAACAATTACATTAGCCAATTGGTCAATCAACTAAGCCTCAATCCTTAATCAATGGGGAAAAAATACACTTCTTCACGAAATTATGATGAATTGCTCAATGTTTATATGTGCTCACAACAAGATTTCCTTTTGGATATGCTATATTGTACAATGCTTTGACGTGCTCATAACAAGCTTCAACTTTCAACTTCCAAATCTTTGGCGTCATCATCTCACACTGTATAACATGGAAATGTTGCAAGTTTCCACCATCTTTAAGTCAATACAACATCGGGTTAACAATTTAGCAGAATATGTTAAAAGGGAACATTCCATACAATTTCAGATCCACATATTCCCTCGGGACCGATGCTCTTGATCTGGACGTGACTACATTAAGGCTAGGGGCGGATGCATTATTCATTTAACAGAACCCAATATTTTTTTACATGCATTATAGATATACATGTCATGGTAATCACAATATGTCAATAAATATTAAGTTCTAAACTCATAATTACATAAGTACAATAAGTTCGGTAGTGAGAACATAAAAGTTGAATCCATCAAATTTAAATACTAAACCCGCCTCTGGTCCATAAAATTAGTGTGCTTTCGAGGTACTACTAATTAAGGTTCTTACCATGAAGCTCAAATTTTCCACTGCTTTTCAACCAAAACAAATTCTCACATACCCTAAAACCCTCCATCTTAAACCCTTGATTATTCGGGTCCTTTAATACTTCTGACAATATTTTCGGGGACCCGACGCCATAGTCCCCGATGAAATAGGTCGGTATAGGAACACTGGAGCGGCCTTCAATGTATCCATTGAATTCCTCAAGCCCTTCAATTGAATCCGGGAAAAATTGGCCCACGCAGAATAGAGCATCAAATGGACCAGCTGATTTGTTCACCTGAAAGAGTTCAAGTTCAGCTATACAGTAAGCAGTTGATTTTTAAATCCAAAATTTAGAGTTAGTGAGCTATGAACGAGTATGTGTATATATATATATATAGTTCGAGTCGAAAATAATGAGAGTAGAGAAGAAGAAAAACCGAAGAAACGCGCTTGAATAGCTGATTGAGACGGCCGAGTACGTCACCACAGAGGAGAATTTTGAGAGGAGCCATGACTGAGTTTGCTTGTCAGAGCTGAGAGAAAACGAGAACGAGAATATGCAAGTACTGGGCCAAATGTAAGTGCACAAATAGCCATTTTTGGCTGACTCTATTTAAAGAATAACCAAAAGATACAACTTTTTAATAATTGAGCCTCTTTAGATCATCGGGGTTTGATGTTTCAAACTTCAAACCGTAGTTATATTGTAGTTTCAGTTGAATTTAGACTATGGCTAATCCTAATTACAGACTCGAACATCTTAAGTTCTGGTTTGATAATTCAAACTTCAAAACTTTCGATAAAAAGTTAGGTTATAGCAGTTCAAAATTTCATACCTGAAGGTTTAAATAAGAAACAAAAATAGCAAGAGTAGCTTAAAATTTATTCAAAATGACTGCAATTTGAATAATTTTTAAAAAAATGACTACAGTTTAAATAGAGGTGCAAATGGTGGCTACCAAATGTAAGAAGTAGCCTGGTGCAAATCTATATAGAATAGAATCTATATCTATATTCTATATAGAATATGAGAAGCAAAAGAACTATATTAAGACAAATGTCATAACCATAAAAAGCCAAGTGGCATTATTAAGACAAAATAAATTATATTTCTAACTATTTTTTTTATTTTGAATTTTAAATTTTAAATTAATTGGTTACTCTACTTGAATTAACAAATATAGATATCTTAATTGTCTATAAAAAACGAAAATATAAAAAATAAACTACTAATTCACATTGGGGAGTAGTTTGAAGTTTTAAAATTATTTTAAAATAAAAAACAAAAAATACAAACTACCAATTCAAATGTGGGAGAAGTAAATAATTATATGATGCCAAGTGGCATAACCATAAGACGACAAGGGTAGATTTTTAGGACAAAGCTCCGACAAAGTTAGAGTTTTAAAACTATTTTAAATTAAAATCGAAATTAAAAAAATAAAAAATTTCTAATTCAAACCTATCTACCTATATTGAATAGGAGAAGCAAAAGCATTATATTAAGACAAGTGTCATAACCACAAAAAGCCAAGTGACATTGTTAATGCAAAATAAACTACTTTATAATTAAAAAAAATTTAAATTTAAATTTTGAATTAATTAGTTACTCTACTTTAATTAATAAATATAGATATCTTATAATTATCTATAAAAACAAAAATATAAAAAAATAAACTACTCATTCAAATTGGGGAGTAGTTTCAAGTTGGAGTATTAAAATTATTTTTAAAATAAAAATAACAAAAATAAAAAATTACCAATTCAAAATTGGGGAGTAATTTCTTCTTAATATATATAAAGAAAAGTAGATAATTATATGATGCCAAGCGGTACCATAAGACGACAAGTGTAGATTTTTAGGAAAAAGTTCCAACAAAGTTGGAGTTTTAAATTATTTTAAAATAAAAAATAAAATTAAAAAAATAAAAAGTTGCCAATTCAAATTGGAGAGTAGTTTCAAGTTGGAATTTTTAAATTATTTTAAAATTAAAAAAAAAATCAAAAACTTTCAATTCAAATTTGGGAGTAGTTATTTTACTAAACTGGTAATTTATTAAGAATTCATGTCAATTTAATAATATTAAGTAATGGATAATACAATTAGATAAGCAAAATAAATAAATTTATGGAAAAATATAAAAATACAAGACTTATAATTAGAATTATTATGAGAAAAATCGTACATATACACATAACTAAAATCATAATAATCAAACAGTCATAAAGGAAGAATATTAAAAAAAAATGCGATAGAGTAAACATTTATATACTAATTAAATTTCTCATGTAGGAAATTTTAGTTAATAAATAAAACTCATAATTCCATAATAAAAAATACAAAAATATAACGAAACTATTAGGATATTATACATAAGATAATGTATTATATATAAAACATAAATTATTAATTATTAAAAATATTAGTATATTTTTTATAAAAATAATAAAAGGTTTATCTCTTTATACTTTTTGATGAATTCAAAATTATAATTTAGTAACAAAAATTACATTATTTAAATTTTAAGTGAAATACAAAATGAGAAATCTAATCAAATATTATCATAGAAAAGAATATACGAAAAGAGGGGGATAAAGATAATTTTATCATATTTATATACTAATTAAATTTCTCATGTAGGAAATTTTAGTTAATAAATAGAACTCGTAATTTCATAATGAAAAATATAAAAATATAAAGAAACTATTAGGAAATTATACATAAGATAATATAAAACATAAATGATTAATTATTAAGAATATTAGTATATTTTTTATTAAAATAATAAAATATTTATCTCTTTATACTTTTTGACGAGTTCAAAATTATAATTTAGTAAATTATTTTTACATTATTTAAACTTTCAGTGGAATACAAAATGAGAAAACTAAGCAAATATTACAATAGAAAAGAATGTACGTAAGGAGGGGGATAAAGATAATTTTATAATATTTATATACTAATCAAATTTCTCATGTAGAAAATTTTAGTTAATAAATAGAACTCATAATTTTATAATAAAAAATACAAAAATATAAAGAAACTATCAGGATATTATACATAAGATAATATAAAACACAAATGATTAATTATTAAAAATATTAGTATATTTTTAATAAAAATAATAAAAGGTTTATCTCTTTTTACTTTTTGATGAATTCAAAATTATAATTTAGTAAACAATTACGTTATTTAAATTTTCAGTGAAATACAAAATGAGAAAACTAATCAAATATTATAGTAGAAAAGAATATACGAAAAGAGGGGGATAAAGATAATTTTATAAAATTTATATTTTGAATTAATTAATAAATACATAACACTCAAGAAAATTATTGATAAATTTAGACAATTGAAGAATTTTGAACAATATAACATAAGTATTAAAAAAAATATTTTCGGAATAAGAAAATATATATTTATGTTATATTAAAAGAGAAGTAATATCAAAATATTAAGCCAATTGACAAGTTAACAAAAAAGAAACATTGGTAAATGTATCGTACCAAGTACTTGCTAATTTAATAAAAATTAAACAAGGAATAAATAATTTATTTGATTACTATATGATGTGTATCATTTGATTTTGTATCGATTTTGTTATATTTTTGTAAACTACATAAAATAATAAACAATTTTTATTAAAATAATATGATATATTAGATTATATAATTTTATAAAATTAATATTCTGTCAAATTATCCGCACATTGCGCGGGGTTCTAACACTAGTTCTAATACAACTACGGGTCATTTGGAAAAGGGTATTAGTAATGCTGGGATTGTTAATGTTGGGATTAGTTATGCTGAGATTATTTATTATCGACTGTTTGATTTAGTGTAATAAAGGTTTTGAAAGGGAAGTTTTATCTTTATATATGCTTATCTATGTATTAAAAATTATGATATTGCTAATGTCAAGAATAATATTGAATAGGGTGTACAACTAATACAAGTATTAATAATATATATTTTGAAAAATACTACCAAACAAAAAATAAATAATATCAAAACTAATACATGTATAATTTTTCCTAATACAGCCTACCAGATGACCCCTAAATGCTATAAGTAATACAAATAGTGAAGTTAGGACATTGGAATTGAAAGAAGCAACAGTAGTAATAGCTTGCCCTCTTCTTCAAACACACATCTGAGCTAAAAGGGCAGGTACGAAGTTTGTCTTATTTGGCTAAAAGTTAAATATTTTGAAATTTTGAATAGATTTTAAATAGTACCCTTAAAATAGGCTACCTGGTGCAAATGTTACACGTAGGCCTCCATTCGATTTTCACGCGCAATTAGTAAAAAGCCCACATTAACAACTAGGGCTCCGTTTTAATATTTTCAATTTCCCAAATCCAGAAGCAGCAATAAGGAAGAAGAATTGTATTGTTACAGAAAGCGCTATGGATTTTGCCATTACGAGTCAGAATCCATTGTCAACCACGACAATAACCAGCGCGTTGTTTTCTAATAAAAAATCTGCAAATTTTAGGGTTTTCACTGTTAGATGTTCTTCTAAAACCCTCTCCTCTGATGGTACACCCTCTGGTTTGTCTTTATTCTATCTTTATGTCAATTATCAACTGATATTTCCTCTGTTTTTTTTCCTTTTCAAAAGATGACAATGGGAATAAAGAGAAGGATTGAGATAAAGGGGATGATGACGGAAAGCTAGCAAAAAATGTGAAGAGCAATGAGGATAATTTGCATGTCATTTATATAATTTGCATTTGCTTATGTCTATTTATATAAGGATGAACTTAAGCACTGGTCCAGAAAATAGGGATTTTTTTGGCCAAAAACTCAATTACCATTGATTAGGGTACGCATGGTTTTAATATTTGAAAAGAGCTTGTTTCTTCAAATATGTGATATTTTTGCAAATCTGAGTAGAAATTATAGGAGTTTTAAGTTATTTCAACTGGGCGTTGAAATTCTTTCATAGCCACCACTTGGTTACAAGCCCATGTTGGTGAGCTCAGCGTCCAGCATTAGAAGCTGTTGGCCTTTAAATCAACTTAAATGGTAGAGAAAGTTGGCTGGTTTGCTTATCAGTTTAATGGGGCTTTAGTTTGCTTATCAGTTTCATGGGGCTTTAGTTTGCTTATCAGTTTCATGGGGCTTTAGTTTGGTTTGTACTCCATTATATTATCTAAGCTAGTCTGACGAAAATATGTGAAGTGAGATATTGTTGTATTTTTCTGGATTTTGGCATCTGCTTTGTTTAGTTACTCCATAAGGTGGGACATTCTAGTCCTGTCTTGACATCTGGTTTGAGTCTCTTATCGTTCCATTTTTTAGACTCAGTACTATTAAGTTTGTTTTTTGTATATATTGTTGTCAATTGATTTTATGAGCTCAAGGACCTTTTATTCTCCTTATTTTAGATTTGTTTGAAATTATAGAGAATATTAGAACTCTGAATGAATCAATATTTTCCTGGATGAGCTGCAGGTCTTGTTGAAAGACCATGGAAGGTAGCAGATGCTAGACTTGTTCTCGAAGATGGTTCAATTTGGAAGGCCAAATCATTTGGTGCTTCTGGAACCCAAGTTGGAGAAGTTGTTTTTAATACATCTTTAACTGGGTAACACATTATTTTTCTTGCTAATTTATGAATACATTATGTTCTTAAATGGGTAAGTTATGTACTGTATTTTTTTTAGCTATCGGTCTTATCCATCTTATGTGGTGCATGGAACATTCAGAATGAACTATTAGAGAATTACAATAGGCTTGTTTCATTATTATTCCTGCATATTTGTTTAAATTTTGAAATTGGGTCATATAAACTGATTTCAGTGAAGTTACCGCTTAACTCAACTTTGCGTAGAACTGTTAAATGGAATTTAGCTTTTCATCAAGCAATTCCCTAGCGCACCCCCTTCCAGGAAAAAAAGTCTCAAGCATGAGTGGATGTTTTATCTTGTGGAATTGGGATTCAGCTACTCTTTGGATTTGTGCCTTCTTTAAATAGTTTCACTACCTCTTCATTCTCTCTCTGACTCATCCAGATTCCTCCAGAAGTACAAGAAGATTTTTTCGAGAGGCAAACTAAAAGTATTTGACAAATTCCTCCCTAGATAATGATACGTCAAGGCTTATCTCCATAAGAAGAAACATCCCCTTCTATATCCTCTTTTTCTAACAATGATGGTTTTTGGGCTAGTCCTTACTGTATTCCTTGCTTGCCTTTGAAGAACATTTATTTCCAATCAATTGAATGTAGTGTTTCAGCACAGACCAAAATCCTAGTGGAGCTTTGAGCCTTATGGTAAGCTCATAATGAGCTAAAGAAAGAAGGTAAAGCGTAAACGGTCATTATGACATTCTTTTCGAATAGCAAGTATGGACATTTGCAGACTCACCTCAATAGCCAATAAGGAGACTAAGTTGCGTGCATATCTTTAAGAATATATCTTCTACACTTGAGAGGAAAATGTTTCTTGCCAATATGCTCTGATGAATCAATTGAGCATCTTAAAAAAAACGAGGTGTTAGACAGTCAGATTTCTAGTAGAGCCATAGGATTTATAAAACTAGTCAACTGAAAAGTGAGACAGAATGAAGTCTGAGAAATATGGTGTATGACCGCAGCCAAAATCTGTTATTTCAATATGGAATTTCATCCAAGCATGCGGTCTTTGACAACTATCGCATTTGTTTTCTGATGCTGCAAAGGAACTTCCTTGCTTGTAAATGTGTAATTGAAGGATAGAACAACTGGAAGAGAAATTAGCAGTGTTGGGGGCCGGTGCAGGAGGGGTTGGAGTTGAACATCAGGATCAGCTTCCATTTCTTTGCTGATCATTCTCCTATCTCGTGGGGATGATGATCTTTTAAATGAATATATTGGCTGAATTTGAAGGAATTTAAACGGTGAATCTTAGACCTCAAAGTTTTGTCTGTTTGGAAAATGAAAGGAGTCTCTAAGTGCCTCCAAAAAAGGAAATAACACTGAAAGGATGGAAAGTTGACATAGTAAATCCCAAGCATATTATGTGTACCTTTGCTACATATACTTTGAATGCTTGATGTACCTCATAGAGTTATTCAGAGCATACAGATAAAGTTATGATTTATTTGCTCTCTACTTTCTTTTCTTTCTTCTTCTTTACGCCTTTTTCTCTCTTTCAAATTCTTTTGGGTCTATATTTTACTAGCTATTTGTATTTCTTGATATTACAGGTATCAGGAGATCCTTACAGATCCCAGTTATGCGGGCCAGTTTGTCTTGATGACTAACCCTCATATCGGGAATACTGGCGTCAATTTTGGTGCGTGTAGAGTTTGTTTCATGGCTAATTGTTATTTGGGTTGAATAATCTTTTGTGACTGTTTTGGAATTTCTCTGGGCAGGCGATGAAGAATCGATGCAGTGCTTTCTTGCAGGATTAGTCATTAGAAGTTTAAGTATCAGGTTTGGTCTCTATGCCCTGCTTTTCAAATCAGCCGTCAAACATATGATGTTTATTGTTTTCTGTTGTGTATTTCTCAGCACCTCAAATTGGAGATGCAAAGAGACACTTGATGACTATTTGGCTAAAAGGAACATCATGGGTATATGTAGGTCCTCTACGTCCTATACAAGACTACTTCTCACTTCCATGTCAAACTGTGGAATTCAAATTCTCTGATCATTTAGCTTTACTACCATGTAACAGATGATGTAGACACTCGTGCAATTACGCGAAGATTGAGACAAGACGGAAGCCTCATTGGAGTCCTGAGCACGGAAAATTCAAAAAGTGATGAAGAACTTCTCGAAATGTCTCGTACATGGGACATAGTGGGTAAGCTACTGTCCTTGTTTCTTCCTGATTTTGAAAATTTATTTATTTTGAATGGAAAGAATTTTATTATTAACATATTACGTTATGCAGGTGTGGATTTAATCAGTGGTGTTTCATGCAAATCTCCTTATGAATGGGTTGATAGAACAGCCTCAGATTGGGATTTTAATGATAATGGAAGAAATAAAGAAACTTTTAATGTCAGTATTGTTAGTTTATTAGATTCTGAAAAAAGAAATATTCACTATGGAAACTAATATTTTGTCCATCTGGTGGATGAAGGTTGTTGCATATGATTTTGGAATCAAGCATAATATACTTCGGCGCTTAGCATCCTATGGCTGTAAAATCACTGTTGTTCCTTCAACATGGCCAGCGTCTGAAACTCTAAAAATGAAACCTGATGGGGTTCTCTTCAGCAATGGGCCAGGAGATCCCTCTGCAGTTCCCTATGCAGTTGAAGCAGTAAAAGAACTTATTGGAAAAGTTCCTGTTTTTGGCATTTGTATGGGTCACCAGTTACTTGGTCAAGCATTGGGGGGTAAGACATTCAAAATGAAATTTGGTCATCATGGAGGAAATCATCCAGTTCGAAACCTTCGAAATGGCTGCGTCGAGATCAGTGCTCAGGTATGTTAAACAGCAAACTCTAGCTGAATACTGCTTTGTGTAAATTTCCAAATTTTCCATACAATTACTCCTCAGTTCATCAATGTTTACTTCCCTTTTTAAGTACTACCTTCGACACATAGTGATGAGAGTCTAATTTTTTAGTTTAAATTAGAGCTGTTAGTACTTCAGATTTTTAACATTTTTAAAGTCTTGATGACTTTCCGTATGCCTGCAGAATCACAACTATGCTGTTGACCCTGAGTCTCTTCCAGAAGGTGTAGAAGTGACTCATGTAAATTTAAATGATGGAAGTTGTGCTGGTCTTGCCTCCTTTAAAATGAAGCTGATGTCACTTCAATACCATCCCGAAGCATCTCCAGGGCCTCATGATTCAGATCCTGGTAAACATATCCTGACTTGATCTGCTTGTATACAATAAACTTATAAACCTCGGCAATTTGTTCAGTGGTTGTCTTTAGCCTTGAACCCTTGACCTAATAGTTTGGAGAGAACTCCCCAACCGCTAGGAACAAGGATGGCCGGTATGAGGATTTACGAAGACCATAAGTACAATCCGGAAAATAATGATGTCACATGGCCAATCATTCTACATAGGGGTGGCAAACGAGCGGGTCAGTCGCATATGGGCGGGTTGAAAATGGGTAATGCAAAACGGATAAATTATCCGACTCGACCCATATTTAATATGGATAAAAAACGGGTTAACCGGCGGATAATATGGATATCCATATTATTCATGGCTTCTTGAATATGATCACTTTTGGGAGAAATTCTAGTCTCCTAAACTTGAGGAACCTCCAATTTGAGGCTTTACAAATGTAAAAGTTAAACCCATTAGTTATCCATTGGTTATCCATTTTCTAAGTGGATAATATGGTTCTTATCCATATTTGACCCGTTCATTATCCAACCCATTTTTTATTGGATAATATGGATGGATAACCGTTTTCTTTTAACTATTTTGCCACCACTAATTCTACAAAAGAAAACTCTGAAGTACTTTATTTTGATAATCCTAAGTTAGGATTCTGCTGTCTAGGTCAATCTTCATTAAAAAAACTGCTGGCTAAGTCAATTAAAGTATTCCCAGCTGGTCTTGTGTACATGATAGGTCTCTCATATTTCAGTTTCCATCGGAACTTTTGAGACAAATAGAATGATAAATGAGTCGAATAATTTATAGAGTAAACCAAGATTTGCTTGAATATGAGTGCAGCTACTTGAGTCGAGCCATAATTATGTCAAAATTCTCATTGTATCCTTTCTTTACCTGGGCAGTATTTGGGGAATTTATACAACTTATGAAGCAAGAAAAAGTGACGGCATAAGCCAATTGCCCAGAAGAGCCTGAAGCAACTGTCATGTTCGAAGGAACCACATTCCGAAAAAGAGAATTTCGATGAGACTTGCCATCAACAAGTCAGAGCAATACGTCGTGTTACACCTCTTCTTGCCATAAATCAGGTCTGAGTAATCCGTCGAGCAGCACCTCTTTGCAATTATGTCGATTGATATATATGTATGGTTCTAATTTTTGTTCAAGTAAAGGCTGTGCCTTTATGTCTAAAGACATATTACTAAATATTTGGTTTGTGTAATAGTACTGTGGTATGGTACTTGTAATAATACACTTGTTTCCATCTTAAGCAAAGATTCACTTAGCTTCTGATTAAGTTGCTCTTGTGGTGTGAGGAACTACTAGGATAGTGCTCCTTCATCCTTAATTAGATATCTCAGGTTCGAGCGATGTCTATGAAGTTGCCTTTGTTAGGGAGCGCTCGCGAATCCGAATTAAGTCTAATGTGCGGGTACCAAAAACCGGGTTGGAATATATATATAGATAGATAAAAGAACTGGAATAGTGCTGGCTTGTTACTTGATGGACGTTTTATACTTAGTTGTGAACTTCATCCACAGTGCCTCTCTTCTATGGCACAAACGATTCAAGAATGTATATTTGGTGCGTTCTCTTGCTGATTTGCACAAATAGCCACTTTTGTGGTGTTTTGGCTACTTTTCAAAATTAGACCAGTGGAAAGGAAAAGGGCAAAAAGTAAAAAAAATATTTAAAGAAAATGGAAAAATTGCAAACGATAGAATCGGTTTTTCTTCCTTTTGCTTCCCGCACCTCGGGAGAGTTAATAAAAAAATGCTGCAAATAATAAAACTTTAATTTGTCTTTTTTTCTCTTTTCGCTTTTCGTGAACCTCAAAAAAATACTGGGTATGTTGTTGTTAATGAACCAAATGATTATATACTCCATACCAATTACAAGTACTAGTTTCTTGCAAAGTTCATGAATCATGTCAAAAATTCAAGCAAGTGCATGGTGAATTATGCAATAACCTTTAATAGAGGCTTCGAGTTTGAGATGAATAAAAAAATCCCAATAAGGAACGCTCTGCCCTATAATGAGACTTACGCGTTATAAATTTAAAGTAACGAGATACCAATGCAAATATCGAACACATAGTGAAAAAAATCATAAAAAGGGCAAAAAAAAAAAAGTCAAACAGAGAGAGAGAGAGAGGTGGAGAATCTGCGAATCTAGAAAGTAAGAGAGAATAAAGACAGGCAGCCACAAAGGTAAAAAGGCAAAGATAAGATATGGCTACTTCTTACTTACACGCACTTACTTTTAACTGTTAATTTAGCAGCCTTTTTCCTTTCATAACAATCCAACATTCTGCCTGCTTATTCCCAACATAATCATTTATCTAAACTCACATTATTTAATCATTTCTTATTACACAACAATTAAACTTAATCTAACTCATCATCTTTAATTACGATGGCAAACAAGACGATTTATTTTTCATTCTATGTTTGATATATACTATATGACTCCGATTAATTCGAACTTATATCGCGTAAAACCAATTAAACGGAGGAAAAACTTTCTCTAACAGGGATTTTTCCGTTAACACTAAAGTTTTAACTAGTCTTGTCTGGCTTGACATCTATCTCTATCTTTTATTTATTTCTGTCTCATTTTGTATAGACTCATCCTGTCCCGCTTAAAAAAAAAAAAAAAAAAAAAAAACTATTTGACCCTAATCTTTTTTTTTTCACTGTTATTTAGTTAAACTTGACGAATTTTAAACAATAAAACAATTTGATTTTAATTTAAGTTGCCTCTGGGCTATTTCACTCTTAATTTAAAATAATAAGTTGTGTTTTAATACGTCCTGCCCGGTTACCATATGCTTTAGTTCTCTCTATCGCTTTTTGTTTTATATTTTACTTTTTCCACAGCTTCTCAATATATATATTAATAAAAACAAGAAAATTAATGGACAACCATAAGGTTTAGAAGAAGAATAATAAAAGCTTTATATTCATCATAGTTGCCTCGTGTGAAAGTTCTATTTCATCATCCTCTTTAGAAAAGTGTCCATTTAACTATGTTACCTTTTTCTCTTTATCTTTTTCTTTTGGGGGGTTAGGGATTGTAGGATGGTACTTTAGAGAAATTTTTCCACTTTGCTTAACCTTGCATTAATTTTGAAAGACTTAGTAAAACCAAAAGATAATTAAAGGCATTATTTATTTATTTTAATAATGGTATCCCGCTTAACTTGTGCGTACACGTACCTGCGACCTTCCACCCAGAGACAAACCTATGTGGTGAGTTGAGGGGTCATCGGATCCTATTTACTTCAGATTTTTTTTTGATACACATGTTCATGTGCCCGCCACTTTCAATACTCCTACCAATACAAATACTGAGTAATTATATCCATCAAAACTTAAAATATTGGTATCATACATCAACTAAAACAATCAAGAACTTGATTATATTATAATCTTTCTAACTCAATACACTAAGTACATGCCCCATGTTTATCCTACCACTTATTAGTAAAAAAAACTAATTAAAAATTCTTTGTCCTGGTGATAGAATCATCTTTGGATCAAACTGACTTTTTCTTTGTTGAAAAATATTCCACTTTTTGCCAAAATGTTTTATCCAATCCTCCTTTGTTTTATAATGTGGAAGATATTGCTTTATCTTTAAGCCAGCTTTATCACAATACTTCAAGATTTCTTCATTTTGATCATCCAAACTTTTCCAGTCATTAAATCCACTTGAATGTAATAGCCCCACACAGTAAAATGTCTCCTCTTCTGGTATCACTGCAGACATCCTGTCATCCCATCTGCATTAAAAAAAAATTAAGTATAAATTAATTTTATGCGATCAAATTATTTAAAAGGTAATTACAACTACTCATAATAAGTAGAATTAGTAAACTGATAAAATAAAACGTAACCTTTTTATGTATAACATGTCAAAATTATACCGATAGTGTATAAGTGAATATAAGCTAATTAGTCCTTTTAAGAAATGATACTCCCTCTCCCATTTTTTGTGATATACTGTTTCTTTTTAGTTTCATTACACTGATATAACATATTGAAGACTTTTTTTCTTTCTTATAATTTGATCCAGTCAAATAAAGGAGAGTATAAGAGTAACGGTAAAGTTATCTTCGTGTGACATATCAGCCACAAATATAAGCTATCTATATTACATCACTTGAGGTGTGTCCCTTCACTCAATCCTGCGTGAACGCAAAATACTTTATATACCGGACTACCCTTTTATATGGTCCAAAGCATTCACATAAAATGGACAGAGAAAGTATTAAAGAAAGTTCTTGGGAGTACTTTTTCCTGCTTGTTGGGTAGACAAGGATAGGTCCTGTTGTCTTGTTTTGTCTGAGAATAATGTCCACAAAAACACCAGCATTGAAATCCATGATATTGGATTTTGGTACAAAGAGATTGAGCCATGGATGTGGAACATCCCATTGTCCTTTTGATTTTAGCTCTAACTCTCCTCTTCTAACTCTATTCAGAAAATCCACAAATGTGACATCTTTCTTGAATATAAATCCAGGCAAAAAGTTCAAACCTTTTACCAACTTCTTCAATTCCTGCATAAAAAAATTAGAGTAATTATATATTGTATGATTTATCCACAATTAGTTTTACTACATTGGTAAGAAAATTGTCTAATCTTTTTTGGACAGGCAATCTGGTGCACAAAGTATCTTGCATTTACGCAGGGTATCGGGAAGGGATGCACCCTTAGGATTGTGATATAGACAGCCTATCCTAATACAAACAAAGTGGCTACTTCCACGGCTCGAACTTGTGACCTATAAGTCACACGGCGACAACTTAACCGTTGCTCCAAGCTCCCCTTCTATCTAATGTTTCTTGGTGTTTCTGAATAATTATAAGGTTGTAGAAAGAGTTTAACTTATATGAAGTGATAAAATATAGCTTTTTTTTTTTGCATTATTTGGTAAACGTGACATGCAATGACAGGAAACTATATCTAGAGTAATTAAATCTACTTTGGTAACATGGCAAATGCAGTAAAATAACATGCTATAATCAATTGAAATACACTACAACAACAATAATAACAACCCAGTAAAATCCACTAATGGGGTTTGGGGAGGGTAGTGTGTACGCAGACCTTATTCCTACCCCGAAGGAATAGAGAGGCTGTTTCCGAAAGACACTCGACTCAAAAAAACAAAAAGACAAAAGGACAAAAAGGGGACAATATTAGTATCACAACAACAATCATAGGATAAATAAGAACACCATGAAATCCAGAAGAAAGTTGCAAAGCAAAGGGAGATAATATTAGTAAATATTAGTATCACCATAACAATCATAAGAAAAATAGGAACACCGTGAAATCTAGAAGAAAGATGCAAAACAAAAGCGATAGCTAGTAAATAGGACATGTACCGAAAAGCGAAATAGTAAGTCACAACATTGACACTAGCTATCTTAGACAAAAACCTTACATTGCTAGTCCCACAATGGTACGAAGTAAGCGAAATAGTAAGGCACGAAGTAATTGAAATACACTAATAATATTAAATAATTTTGCAGTATTGATGTATATAAGTTAAATAATTGTAAAAATAGGATAGTACGCACAATGTTCAAAAATCACATTGAAATTAAAAACTTTTTTTCCTTTAATATAATTTCAATAGTAATTAGTTGGTACCTCATCAACAGTATTAGCAGTCTGATCATCATAGTACTTGACCATTTCTAGGCAATAAATAATGCCATTTTGGGATAATAAGGAAGCTATTTTGGTCTGATTAGAAGGTGAGAAAAATGAAGATCTCCAGTTATTTAGAGAGCTTTGTTCCATCATCAGTGATCCTTCAACATAATCCAGGCCATAAATTGAAATCAAATGTTCTTGGTCTTTTGTGAATTTTGAGAAATCTGCATATAGCATTCTCACCCATTTCACCTATAAGAAAAATAAAAACAAAATCGTGTCACTTATAAG